TGAGCTGTATGAAAGTACTTCAACAAGGTGAGGGTAGATTAAAGTGATCTTGGTCGCATGACTCCTCGCTGAGAAATCTGTTACTGAGCTAAATGTGACTTGGGAAACTTCAGATATGGTTCCTGTATGTTCATGAAAGAGAAAGGGAACTAATAAAACATACTTCGGTCCAGGCAGGAGCCACTCGTAGAAACTTTTTTTTGGGTGGCTACTCTCAGAGGATGGGGGACCCATGTCGTCCAGTGGGTGGTGGCATCCCTAAAATGCCTATGACAAGTCTGGGAAAGGCGAGGGAAATTCTGAATCAGTATCTTAAAAGTACTGAGAACTTGACAACCATAGGAGGAAGCAGATGGCACATAGCAATTTTATGTGTTCAAGTTCAAGGTAAATCTTTGGTGTTTATTCATTCAACTTCCACATGGTGCCGGAGGCAGACTAGATGCTTTCTGGGGTTCCAGCAATGACCTTCCATAGGAAGCAAGAACATGTGGCAGGCCTAAGCCTGGATGTTGGTGCACATGATCTCTGTTCCAGTATCAGCTGAGAGACTTTGGGTAAACTACTTAGGTTACTGTACCTCAATTTTGCCTGGCAAGTGATGATAAGGGTAAACATACCTCAACAGTGTTGGGATAAGGATTAAAGGAGTTAATGTAAGTGTTGCACTTAGAACAGGACCTGGCATATAGAAAGAGATCGATGAGTATTTGAAGTAATGTCTGTTTTAATGAGCTGCTCAGATGCACACTGATTTTTCGAACACTTTTCAAGATCTAGTCCTTGTGCAGAACAAGCATCCTGACACATGTTTTTCTATAAGTTTCTCTGAACAAGAGTGGTTCCAACGAGTCTCTTGAGCCATCCCATTGCTCTAGGCTGTCTGCTGAACAGAGGCCTTAGTGAAATGGATGAAGCGTTCTTGGGCAGCCCAGTCACCATGTTCCTGGGTACTGACATCCCACTTGTCAGTGCTGAGTACACAAGCTGCTCCTTTAAGATTGGGGAGAAACCGCTGCCAAGTGATTTCCCTCCCTGCTCCTTTCTTTTGGAAGTAAACTAGCAGGGTAATAGCCCAAAGCTATCTAAACAGGGGCAGCATTTATCAATTGATTGATTAACCAATCAGTCAGCAAGTATTTATGTGGTGTTTCTTATGTGTTTAGCACCGTGTTAACTGGCCCTGGGAGAAAAATAAAAGAACTATAAGATGGGGTCCCAAAATCCAAGTTAGGATCCCAAAGTGATGAACTGGGAAATAATTATAAAATAGCTACTAAATGTAGATGCAGAGAGCAAAGTCTTCTGAGAAAAATTTCTGCAGCTGCAAATGACGTTCTGTCAGGTTGGGGCCCCAAGCTGCAGCGTAAATGATAAGCTGATGTCTAGAGCGGAAGGCCTGAGACAGAGTGGGCCATTCTGGGGGAGGGTACAGAAATGAGGCTGCCTAGAGGAAAGGGGTGAGGGGGGCCCCCAGGCCTGGCACTGAACACACAAGTGGGGTCAGATGGGAAGGACCCAGGACACCAGGCTGGACACTGGGCCTTTCCTGGCAGCATAGAGCAGTGCGGAAACTTCTTGGCTGGTGTCCAGCAGCTGACACCAATGCCAGCTCCTCACCCAGCCGGCAGGGTTCCCCGGTCCATCACTTTCCTGACTCCAGGGAACAAGTGAGGTAGTCTAGTGTATTCCCCATGTTTTTTTTTGATGTGAGGGGCCAGAAGAAGTTACTGACGTCTCATGAAAGTGCTACAAAGAAGGGGAATTCAGGGGAAGTTTGTCTGGCAATGACAGAATACAAGGTAACCACCAAGTCAGAGTCTAGGACTTGCCATTTGAAAGAGGGGAAAGAGGAAGAGCTAAAGAAACCTTAACACTAAGTTTTCTTCTAGGAATGGATGAAACTGCAGCTTCTACACATGTCATTAAGGCGGTAGCATGCAGGAAACAGAAACATGGGCTTGGTGGTCAGGTTGACCCCTTGGGGTTGGGTTGGCTCTACCTTCCCCCACATGGCAAGATTTGAAACTTTCATGAGCTTCAGTTCCCCCACTGTAGGATGAGTGAAAGGCAGGTGATCTATCCCTGGCAGCATCAGTGTAAGGCTTGTGGGAGGTAACTAACACTTGTTAAGTGACTCACTGGCTCTTTGCCTTTTGTATGTGGTTGGTGTGACACAGATGTAGCATTTATTGTTCATGAACGAAGCACCTATTGAGTATTATTACCATGACAGGTGATAGGGTTCAGAGAGGAAAGAGGTGCAGCCTGTGCCTTGATGACACCTGTGGGGTAAAAATTGTCCTAATGTCCCCCGTAAGACCTTGTAATCAGCTAAAATGGCACCTTCTTCATATGGGTCATGGGAGACATAGGAAGCTGTAGAGAGGTATTTTGTCTCATGCTCTGTGCCTCATCATGAGAGTGCCAAGTTACCATCAGAAAACAGGCCAGGTATCCCATAGCTCCACCCACAGCCGGCCAGCATAAGCCGGCTCTATCCACCCCCCTTGAGGGTAATTCTCTTCCTTCTCCTTCATGATCTAAGGAAAGGAATGACTTCATAAAAGAGATATTTACCAACATCACACAGGTTTTGCATATGCCTCCAAAATAACTCCTTCCCTTTAAGTACGTGAGAACCATTTTAGGATGTTTCTTGTGTTTGCAACTTGCCCAATGCAACAGATAGGCCACTGAATTGGTTCTGTTCTGGGAGATAACATTGGTAATGTTCTCAGGAAACACTGGGACCACTTGTTCTTCTCTGTCTTATTCTTTACATACCTACACTGACCACATCATATTTCCTCACAGCTACTGGGGTCCAAAATGGAGGAGGAGTGCAAAGAGCACCTGCTTCTCCATGGAAACCATGGGTTCCTGGACCTGGTGCCTCTGAAGGGTGGGCAGTTGGACCATGAGAACCTTTCTAGATATCTTGGCCAATTCTCCATCCTCAGGGAAACAGAGGTGGTGTAAGAGCATGTTCTCCTCGAAGAAACACTTTCTGAGTTATTAGAGAAAGGGAAGGAGGCCAACCATCTTGGTTCCTTCAGGGCAGAAAAACAGACACAAGTAGGTGTTTTAAACTCTGTAACAGACTCACTGAAAGTGCAACAGAAACTGCAGAAGAAGCATTTTGTAGGTGAGGGGAGTTGTAGGGGGAAGGGAGGGTGGAATTTGCCCATCGGGTGGGATCCTTGATTCAAAGGCACATTCTTTCCACCGCAGTTTCTGGGCTGGACTTGAGATCTGGAGTTCTGTAGTGTTTTATTCCCTTCTCTTGACATTGCTCAAATGAGATTAGGCCAATTCTGGAAACTGATACCTTCTCCCTGTCACATTCTTATTAACTGGCTCCACTTCAACAGATGGCCCTTCTGAAAGGTACACAGACCCTTGACATCAGTGAGGATTGACGATGTTTAGAGACACTCACAAATCCCAAGTCAGTAAGTGAGGACACTTTTGTACAAGCTATGGCTTTCTCCCATACCACATGCACCTTGCACATTGCCTCCCATCACAGGTTTAACCACCTTTTCAACTTGAGCAGAATTTAATTGATCATGTTATGGCGATTTTTCTCCCCCTCCTCCACATAAACCAGTTTCAACCAAAGGAAAGAAGAAACACACTTTCTGAAAGTTTTTGCAAGTGCAGCAAGAAATGAAAAGCCACAGCAACCTAAAGATCTTGGTGCTCAGGAGTGGGGTCTGAACCAAAGGCACCCCCAGCCAGGCACCAGATCCCTGAGGCCCAGCCTGAGATTTGAACCTGGGCCTCTACATTTGACAGATGCTGTGTGTTATGGGTCTTCACAGTTTAGATAGACTGTTTAGGTCTGAGGTTGCCAGAAGCTTACGTCCTGTCCATACTTCATTCTTGGGCTTCTCAGACCACAGGTTCCAGAGAGCACACGGGAACGCTGCCCCTCCTCCACCCCCCCCCCCCCCAGTGAAGTTCTGGGCAGAGGAAGGGATGGCAGGAGAATAACAGCAATGAAAGAAACTTCTTGCTAAAGAGTCTTATAACTCAAATCCATCTCCTGAATGCTCTGTATGTAGGCAGCAATAATGGATGCTTGTAATTATAACCCCAGGCTTTCTGAACAATCAAGGAGAGACCAACCGTATGTATCTATTGCCGATCCATTTCATCCTGCTTACCAACCAGTCTTGAGGCAATAGCTAATGAAAGGTACATATAGCATAAGCTCTTGAAGATAGGATTAGAAGATCAAGCACAGAAAATAAGCTTATCACAAAACTACAGAGATATAATTATTGTCACTGAGTATTGCCCTTAATGCAGTTTTCAGGCAACAAAGGCAGAGAGAAAAAAAGCTCAAAAAAGTATTCTTCAGATGGAGATGTCTTCTATTGGTAATAAGTCTTAAAATAAATCCATAATACAGGAACTTAAACAAAATAAATTCAATGATATAGTGGTTTTTACAAAACAGGTGACAATTTTCATATATAACCATTTCCCATGCTACCCTTTAGCAGCTTAAATCAAATAATTAAAAATGCATAATTGTCAATTTTGTCTCAAGATTAAATAAAAGGAAAATAATAATCATTATTAAGTTGGTAATGTAAAGATTGGGTAGAGATATACGTGAAATTTCTTCCATTAAAGTGGAAGAAAGTTGATGGTTGTTGAAATATGGTGGCGGGCATATTCTATACATTTGATAATTTCTCACAATTAAAAAGCTGGCAAAATCTATCTGGCAGTCAGGTAAGTTAAGCTAATACGGTAGCTATCAATGGCTATATTCTAACTGATAAAATTTTAAGTAAAACAGATAGCACGCTACTCTCAACCTTTGAAAATGGACCAGCCTGTGAATGGAACATGGTGAGATTCAGTCAGCCCCGAAGCTGAGTGTTCTCTCTGTGTGTGCTCGCTCCCGGCTAGTCATGGCGACAGGCTGCTGACACACTCGTCCCCACCACCCAGGAGTAGAGGAGGAGGACAGATTCAGGTACCTTCACTGCAGTTCTTCAGGGCGAAGAAGTCCACTGCAGATAAGCTTCGGTTTCCACTTGAGATGTATTCCAGAGCCACTCGGAAAGGGTTCTCTGGGCGCCCAATCCTTCCCTGTAGCACTGTCCAGCTGGTGGTGTGGGAAGCAGAAAGGAAAAGCAGAGGACAGTGATGAGAAGCGGCCTTTGCCTGAGGAGAGTCCTGCCCATGGGTCCCCGCAGGGCCCACGTTCTCCATGGGCACCGATGTGTGCCCACGTGGCTCTGAGGACAGCAACCCTAAGAGCAACAGACAGACGTTTGTTTCCTTCTTGTCTAGTTGACTCAGGGACCCTCTTCTCTTAGCCACTGTTGCCACCATCTTTCTTTTATTATACTCTTTTTTGGGCAGTTGCCGACTTTTAGACTATTCCAGCAGTTAATCTTACAAAAGGAATATATAGATATATATATATTCATATGCATATATACATATGTATACATGTATACATATACATATATATATATATGTACTTGAGTAAACATATATACATATACTTGAGTAAACCTGGCAGCAGGGTGAAGGGATAGTCTTCAAAAGCACTTATCAGTGTATTTGTAATTGTCTCTGGAAAGAGTACTTGGCTTTGGGAATTTTATCTGATCCCAAAGTCTCAGAACCCTTAGGTTTTCTATAGAGTTACTTAAGGAGAGCTAGCAAGGGTTATTTATTTACTGAACGAAAATTAAAGTGCACTGAAGCATGTATTTTGGGGTAAAAGGTACCTAAGATTGACGTGGACTCTGCAAAAAGGTGCAAACAGCAGAAGAAGGGAGCAGGTCAGATGGTGAGCTCAGCATTCAGCTATAATCAAGGACAGTGACACCGCTGGAGAACAGAGAATAAGCTAAACGAACACTTTTACATCTCACTCAGGCTGTTAACCTCTTGGAATAGCCTCCTGTCACTGACTGGAACATCAAGTTTACTTTCCAACATTGATTCATGCTTTTATACACACACACACACACACACACGTATGCAAATATATACTTACATATATACATACACACACAAACATGAAGTTATCTTGATAGTTACAATTTTATTTGGAGAATGAAATTACATGGACTCTTTCATAATTTTGCTTTTAAAGATTTATTTATTTATGCACACAGAACTGGGGTACAGGCCAGAGTTGCAGGGGCAGTGAGAGGATTCACCAGAGACAGAGGGGAGCAGCGGGCGGGTCAGGAGAGGTCTGCTGCGCCCTGTGGTCACCTCCGGGGCAGGCGGGAATCAAACTCATGCTGAAGTGGCTTTAGTTCTTAGTGCTGTGCTTCAACCCGCTGCACCACCAGGGAGGGCTCTAAAAAATATTTTTAATGCACCTGTCTCCCAAGTACAAAATGATATGTATTATAAGAAATGTTAAAAATCCAATCATTTAGGAAATGTGGCAAAGGGAAGTAAAACACGCTCATTACCCAGAGACAGTCACAGCCAGCCATCGTGAATGCCTTTCAGTAGTGATTTTACGTAAATGAGGCCATCCTACAGGCACTTTCCATGATTGTACTTGTCCAGTCAATGGTGAGTCATGAGATAGTAAACAGAGATTGTGGGATCATTTCAGTGATTGCATTTTTGGTTGATTTGTGCATTGCTCCTGGTTTTCCCTCTGGATGAACATCCTGAGGCTAATTCTGTGCAATTATTATATACCGCCTGAGGACAAATTCTTGGATCCTGAGTTGGAATGCATGTGCATTTGAAAGTATGAGGCACACTCAGCCCTCTTGCAGTGAATCAGAGACCCTATTTCTCCATTCGTTGGCTAACACTGCCTCTCTCTTATCTCTGGAAAACTTTTGGTGATGAAGACATTGCCTAGAGCAACCAGCAGTCTTGCTGTGGGATGCTCTTGGATGGTAGTTTTGAGTCTCTGGCCACCATGTTGCTGGGCAGACAGTGGGAGTTGCGGAAAGAGGTAGTTTTGTTCCCTTTCTATGTTCTTCTGTAGTTAATTCAGATCACCGGAGCCAATGCCTCAGCCATTTAATAAAAGTGTGTTAAATTTCCCCACAATTGATGCTGTAGAGGGGTTATTGCTGCTGTAAAGTTTGTTCTCTGTTACTGCACCCTGCAGGATTTCCATCCAAAATAAAACCAGTGCAATTGAATAAGGAAAAGGAAGTCTTTCGGTTTAAATGCGGGACTGTCAAAGAAAGAAATGTTTGGAAAGAAAAAGTAAATGAGGGGTTCTTCAGGCAAAAAACAAACAAACAAAAAGCAGAATTTTTCTTGTTCTTCTGAAAAATAAAGGCCCCTATTTTTGAAGGAAGATGGTGATGAAAGGCATGACTATTCATATCCTGCCAAACTCACAGCTCTGCGCTGAGGAGTGATGGATTTTCAACCCAGGTACACAGTGGCCCTGACAATGATTTCCATTTCTATATTGGCACTAGACCTCTGGATAAATGTGTCAAGAGTTTTAGGAATTAGTTTCTGAGTTACTGAAGCAATAACTTTTGTCTGAAACTCTCTGGCCTCCCATAGTTTACTGCTGCAACTTTAATAACTTCCAGAGCAGTTGCCAAACATGTGTTTTATAACCCAGGAAGTTGGGGCTACAAAGGGGCAGGATTGTATGTGGGGTCAGGTTTGTTTAAGAGGTGGACGGAACAAATTCTGGCTCCATTTTCCTTGCCTCTCTCCCAGTGATCATGAAATGGACTCACTTGGGTCTTGTTCTCCTTTTTGGCTGATGGCAACTCTACTTGTGCTTGCGAGGGGGAAGGTTTTGTTCTGCCCTAACGTCTCCTAGAAACAAGTGTGCAACTGTATCCATGTGCTGGGGGTTTGTGGTCTTCTTAGCGCTGGCGCTTCAATCAATCAAGTTGACAGTGTGGGGAATCCATCTGGACTTTGGCACGCCAGAGGGACTGTATGGACAGTCTGCCATCATCCATTATCTCCCAGTTGTCTCTCTGGAGCACACTCCTTCCTGTTCTGGCTCTGTCCCTCATTTGTCTGATGACTTTGAACGAGGCACTTTGCTCAGAATGCCTGAAATTTTGGGCATTTTCTGATCAATGGTATTCTCAGGTATAGGAAGCAGTTCCAACTTTGGGTGATTTGTAGAGGATAAAAATGACCACATATTTTTGCTGAGTGGCTGTACCAAAATGAATAAGTCAGATTTCATAAAAAAAAAGTGGCAGGAGAACTGGTTTGTGAAAATGAGGGGCCGTTTCTGACCTGTACAAAAACCACTCAACTGGAAGCTGAATCTCAGATTCTGGGTCTACATCTGCATAGGCAAAGCTAAGTTCCTGCACCGTCTTGAGTTTTAGTATCTTCATTAGCAAAATGTGGGCACTGAATTAAAAGTTCTCCAAGGTCCCATACTGTTTTGATGCCTAGACATATTTTAGCAAACTGCAGGAGTCCTGAAGACAAAAACTATGAAACCTCTGAGCTGCCATGTACAGAAGGTGGAAAAAGTGATTAATCAAAGAATCACAGACTTATTTCTGCATAGAACCCTGATCCACTCCCTCTGAGAAAGGGAGTAGCTTAAGGTGACACAATTGATTCCTGGAGAAACAAGGTCAAAATCAAGTATTTTATTGCTCTAGACTGCAAGAACGAGAGACAGTGTAACCCATGTACCAGTCCTCATATTCAGTGCATTTCATGTCCCGAGGATCACAGAGCTAGAGGAGGACATGTTTTACAGAACCTGGCGAGAGGGATCACCAGTCTGGGTTTTAAAGATAGACAGGCCAGCCAGACAGTGAAGTACAGTGTCAGAAAATGCACACATGAAACAAAAACTCCAGAGAAGCGCTGACATGGAGACAGAGGTTCTCTAAAGTTCCCACTGCTCCATACCAGGTTAGTCTCCACATGTTTGAAGGAAACTGACTGGTGCATCTGATGTGAATCAAGCAGCTGATGAAACTGAAGAGTTGGCAGCTCTGATTCAGGAGGATGAAGGCACCAAGTTATTTTAAGCCCAGAATAATGGGAGTTTTTTTTTTGACAGCACATGAAAGCAGTGGATGGCAGTTGATGAGACAGAGAGATGTATGTTAACTTTGTTGCTATGTGATATTCCAATAGGCATCATCTGATCCAGGGTTGGCTCACAGAAGTGAGCTCTCAAACAGACATGCTATGCAGTGGAATCCCTTTCTTACTATTTCCAGGCCTAGATTCAGCTCTCCTTTACACCAATCTACTACCTAAGTAACCTGCTCTGATTTTAAGTTAATGCTTAGCTTTATGAATAGCTATGAAGCCTTGTGAGAAGGATGTGTCCATAGTAATATACTTTTGGAAGCTCAAGAAGTGGTAACTATTCATCCAGAAGACTACTACTATCTCCATGGAATGGTATTGGTCCAGGAAACCATCTGCATCTCAACTCATTTATGAGATTAAAGGTTGAGGACTGTAGGTTACAAAGGCAAGGGAAACAGGGAAACACTTGCAATTTATGAACAGCAGTCACCTTATTAGTATAAACCAGAAAAAATTCTTAATGAGATGGGTCTTTGTATGTCACGCACAACCCAAGAAATGATGTTGAAATACCCTTTGTGGAAAATACTCCATGTGGAAATATATTAGGACTAAGTAATGACATTGGATGAAGACTCTGCTCAGAACCCCCCAAAAGCCCATCTCATTTCTAGCAAATATCTTATTTGCCTTTGTATCTTCCCACATACAACATGTGGGAAATGACTGTGTCCAGAACTCAGTTCAAGTTTGTTGAGTTGAAGTACATTTCTCAGGTATTTATTGGTGAATTGTAGTAACATTAGATAAAGTATTAATGCGCTGGGGCCACTAAGGGTTTAGGACTTTGCTCACTAATCACTGTAGATTAGTGAGATGAGTAAAAGTAGGCCGCAAAGTTTGGCGTACAGAGGAGCTAAGTAACACAGGCTCCACGTACCATGGAAGCACCTTGGGCCAAGCCTGTCTCAGAGTGAGTGGTAGGGAGAATGTGACTTGAGAAGGGCCACAAAGAGGGGCAGGAGCTGGGAAAAGGGCAATGTAGAAGGACAAGAACATGGACACGTGAGCAGAGCCATACAGACTGTGTTCAGAAAACAGGTGGCCCCAGGGTGGCAG